GGCAGCCCGCGGGGCTGGCCGTTCCACACATTGAGCCTCCAGCACCACTTTGATGCCCAACGCTAGCCCGAAGGCGTTGCGCCGCCCATAGAGTTTCCCTAACTCGTATGGGTACCTTTGACACTCCTTTGAGTCATCTAGGCAGTCTCTTGAGGTTGCCCCCAAGGTAGCTCGTTCTATACGGCTCGGTGGCAGTATGGGGGAGGCAGGTCGGAGCTTTCATCACCTATACCCCCCTTATATATGCTTAAAATTAAAAAGCCCAAGTTGCCCGTGTAGACCGTTCTACGTCAGACCATCAGAAGGACCTTTTCTCACCAAATCTTAGCCGAAATCACAACTCCAAATTGCTAGTTGTGACGGATTGGCTCAACTGACATACAAGGCCACTAAATGGATTTTATTACCTAATCCTTATTAAATCACATAGACTCACATCTCGTCCTCCTTTAACACCTTGTCCTGTCATTGAGTCATCAGATTTATTACATAAACAGTTGGGACATCCAAGTTTATCAAAACTTCAGAAAATGGTACTTGGTTTGTGTCACTTGTCCATTCTAGAGTGTGAGTCATGTTAGCTCGGTAAGAATAATCGCTCCCATTTTCCTCGGCGTCTTGATAATCGGGCAGTCACCTTTCACTTTAATCCATTCAGATGTTTGTAGTCCTAGTCGGGTCAATTCTACCTTGGGATTCCGCTACTTTGTCAATTTCATGATGAGTATTCCAGTTGTTTTCTATTTTTCAAATCTTCCACGCTGAAATTCAAAATAAATTTGGGATTTCTATCTGCATATTTTGTAGTGATAATGTTCTAGAGTATTTGTCTTCTCCATTTCAGCAGTTTATGAATTCTCGTGGGATCATTCATCAAATATCTTGTCCATACACATCTCAACAAAATGGGGTAGCTGAAAGGAAGAATAAGCATCTCATTGAGACTGCTCGTAATCTACTCATACAATCTCATGTTCCGTTGCGTTTTTTTGAGGGATGCAGTCCTCACATCTTGTTATCTTATTAATCGTATGCCATTCTTAGCTATCCAGAATCAAATTTCATTCTCTGTCTTGTCTCTCTACTCACCTTTGTTCTCTCTTCCACCCCGTGTCTTTGAGAGCACGTGTTTTGTTTATAACCTTACTTTAGGAAAAGATAAGTTAGCTACCCGTGCTCGTAAGTGCGTATTATTAGGATATTCGAGAACGCAAAAGGGATATCGATGCTATTCACTTGATCTCCGGCGGTGCCTTATGTCTGTTGATGTTTCCTTCTTTGGAACCCAATCATACTTCACTAGTCCAAATGATGACTTAGACATCTCTGAGGTGTTACCGGTTTCATCTTTTGGAGATTCAGGCACTATCTCTCCTTCATCTTCCTCTATAGCTCCGGCTCCACCTACAGCTCCAGCTCCACCACATACAGCTACAACTACAACTCCACCACCTACAACTACAACTCCACCACCTACAACTACAACTCCATCTCCACCACCTATAGCTTCAGTTTCATCACCTACAGGTCCAGTTCAACCTTCTACGACTTCACCACTCCTGACTTATCATCGTCGTCAACGTCTAGCATTTGGTCCAAATGATTCACGTCCTGTATCGAATCTTTCACCTACTGTGTACTTGTCTCCTTCTAGTCTACCGATCGCACTTTGAAAAAGTATTTATTCCACTCTTAACCCTAATTCCCATTATATTGGTTTGAGTTATCATCTTTTATTATCACCCCATTATGCCTTTGTTTCATGTCCTCTATTTCTATCTCTAAGTCCACAGGTGAAGCTTTATCCAACCCTAGATGGCGACATGCTATGATTGAAGAAATATATGCTTTACATGCTAGTGATACTTGGGAGCTTGTTGCTCTACTTCCAGGTAAATCTACTGTTGGATGTCAGTGGGTGTATGCAGTCAAACTTGGTCCAGATGGTCAAATTGATCGCCTTAAAGGCCGCTTGGTTGAAAAAGGTTTTACTCAGATATTTGGGCTTGATTACAATGATACTTTCTCTTCCATGGCTAAAATAACATTTATCCACCTTTTTCTATCCATGACTGCTGTTCGCCGTTGGCCTCTCTCTATCAGTTGGATATTTGAGGATGAAGTTTATATGGAGCAACTACCTAGTTTGGTTGCTCAGGGAGAGTCCAGTGCCCTTGTTTGTCGGTTGCGCCGGTCACTCTATCGTCTAAAACAGTCTCCTCGAGCCTGGTTTGGTAAGTTCAGCACAATTGTTTAGGAATTTGGCATGACTCTTATTGAAGCTGATCACTCTGTGTTTTACGAGCATTCTGCATCAAATTTGTGTATTTATTTGGTGGTTTATGCTGACGATGTCGTTATTACCGGTAACGATCAGGATGGTATCACTAGTTTGAAGCATCTCTTTCAGCTTCCAGGCAAATGATTTGGGCAAATAGAAGTATTTTCTAGGTATTGAGGTCGCTTAGTCTAGCTTAGGTGTTATTATCTCACAACAAGAAGTATGCCTTAGACATTCTTGAGAAGACATGAATGACAGGTTGTAGACCCATTGACACTCCTATGGATACGAATGCTAAACTTCTGCCAGGACAGGCTCCCTCTTAGCGATCCTATAAGATATGCGGTTGGTTGATAAGTTGAATTATCTCACATTGACTAGATCTGATATTTCCTCATGTGAGTGGTGTTGTAAGTCAGTGTATGGACTCTCCCTGTGATAGTCATCGGGATGCAATTGTCCGAATTCTTCGTTGTGAAATCAGCCCAGGCGAAGTAGTATTGTTCGAGGATCTAGGTCATGAGCAGATAGTTGGATACACAGATGCTGATTGGACAGGATCACCTTCTGATAGACGTTCTACGTCTAGATATTGTGTTGTAATAGGAGGTAATTTAGTGTCCTGGAAGAGTAAGAAACAAAATGTGGTTGCTTGATCTAGTGCAGAAGCAGAATATCGAGCAATGGTTCTGGCAACGTGTGAGCTAGTTTCGATCAAAACAGTTGCTCCAAGAATTGAAGTTTGAAAAAATTTGTTAGATGGAACTTGTGCGTGATAATCAAGCTGCCCTTTATATTGCATCAAATCCGGTGTTCTATGGAGGACTAAACACATTGAGATTGACTATGACTTCATCAGAGAAAAGATACGTAAGGTGAGTAAACAAAATTCCATACTCGATCTTATAGATACATATAGAATTCTGCAAAAATCCGTATTCGATGAAAGTCGTATGTACGGCTTGGAGGGAGATCTTTCATATCTTTCAAGATCCACCCTACAATATATGGGGTAAAAAATCCAAAATAAGTGATTTTAACCCTTATAGAAAGAAAATTGATTCTTGATTCCCTTTCACGCCCATGACATGTCGAGGTACTACAGGAAAAAAGACAGCAAAATTCGATCCAATTTATCGTAATCAATTAGTTAACATGTTGGTTAACCATATTCTCAAACACGGGAAAAGCCATTGGCTTATCAAATTATCTATCGAGCCGTGAAAAATATTTAATAAAAGACAGAAACAAATCCACTATCCGTTTTACGTCAAGCAATACGTGGAGTAACTCCCGATATAATAGTAAAAGCAAGACGTGTAGGTGGATCGATTCATCAAGTTCCCATTGAAATAGGATCCACACAAAGAAAAGCACTTGCCATTGCCATTCGTTGGTTATCAGCGGCATCCCAAAAACGTCCGGGTCGAAATATGGCTTTCAGATTAAGTTCCGAATTAGTGGATTCTGCCAAAGGGAGTGGCGATGCCATGCACAAAAAGGAAGATACTCATAGAATGGCAGAGGCAAATAGAGCTACGCAAAAAGGAAGAGACTCAGATGGCAGAGGCAAATAGAGCTTTTGCATATTTTCGTTAATCCATGAACACGATCTATACATCTCGTTCGGAAAAGTTTCAAGAGAAAAAAAAGAAGTGGAATTGATCGATAGTTCTCGAACTCGAAACAAACGAAAGATGATTCATGAGATATTGTTACAAAGTTTGTAAAGTCAAATGATCAGCTTGCAGATATTTTCACCAAGTCCCTCACTGGTCCTCGTATTAGTTACATCTGTAACATGCTCGATACATATGACTTAATGCACCAGTTTAAGGGGAGTGTTAGAGAATTAATGTATATATGATGCTTAGTCCCACATTCTAATGGGAGTAGTATGTATTGTGTAGAATGTAGATATAAATAGGGCACATTGTATTTTAGAAAATGAATGAATATCAATAATACTTTCCCGTGCTATTTCTCACATCTAAAAACACAAAATAATAAGTGGCACTGTTAACGGATAGCTTGCCGAACAGCTGCTGGAAGAATCTTAAGAATGTTGGGTTGCCTGAAATCTGAATATCCCTGGAAGAGTACACTGCAAAAATGGTTTGGACTGGCCAAAATAGCAGCAGGTTCCTGAGAGCGGTGACTGAAAAAAGGAATGGTGTTGCCGGTGCGATCACTTGAAAGAGGTGCTGTGCTGCCAGAACAGTTACAGGAAAGAGGCACAGTACTCTTGGAACAAGTTTGGTGCTGTTGGAACAGTTATCAATTACATGCAACAATAAATTTTGAAAAGAAAATTTTCCTTCCAAAGCTACTTAGTCCTCCAACTAGAAACTCTGTTCTATGTGAGAAATACTAGTAGAGAAGAAAAGAAATGTAATGATTACATGATAAACATGGAATACAAGACACCTATTTATAAGCGCGAGATAGCATCAACACGTTATATTGAACCAATGAGGGATAACTTAATAGTAACTCTAATGTTTGAACTTTCACATACTAACACTTGACATTTAATATATATAGGAATATATTTATTGATTTTTTCTTTTCCTTTGTTTCAAGAAAGTCTTGTATTCTGGAAACACTTGTCATGTCTTTACTTCCAGCTCTTTTTCTCTTCAATGGTTAATTATTGCCATGTTTCGAAATTATAATAATGCTATACTGCCATAGTCTCTGAATAGTTACTTGGTAACAGGCACGACATACTGTTCTTTTGGGTGGCACGAATGGTGATGATGGGAATTGAGTTTACTGGGACTGTCCCCTTTTCAAATGTTTATCTTCATGGACTAATTCGTGACTCTCAAGTGAGTTCATGCTTTTAAGTTACTTGCTTTGAATGTATGTCCTTACTCTTCTTGATCCAATTTTTCTGGATAATTTATTGACCATGCTAGTTGATTTATTGTTCAGTGAAGTTACTTGTCCTGTAAATACAATTCCCTTTTATTTTGTACAAAATGTGCGCCTGGATGTTGCAAATTTGCATTTGTCCTAAGCCGATGCGTTTAGTTAATTCACATTTCGCTTCCTGCTCTTCGCTACCGTTTCAGCATGAAGGTATGTCTAGTAACATTGTTTTACTACTTGTAAAGAAGAGCTTCTGCTGTTTCGGAGGAAAGAGAAAATTATATTCGTCCTAGTTCTCTGGTGGAAGTGTCCAACTTGTAAAAAAGTTGTTTCAGGCCCTGCATTGAAGTTAATATTTTACAGATATCCCCGAACTTCTCGTTAATTGGTCTTTGGATTGATGGGATCAAAGTAAGCAGTTTTTGTTGAACGTCATGTATATATTTGTGATAATGAGTTGAGATTTGCTGAAATAATTGAATATGGGTTGAACCTGCGGTATCTGCATCTGAGTTTCCTCCTGGACTAATCTCAAACCATCATTACTTATGATAAGATATGGATTTACATCTCCATTTCCATGCATCTTTTCTATCATATATTATAGCTTTAAACTTGTCAATGCCCTGTTCCAGGGCAGAAAAATGTCTAAAACATTAGGGAATGTCATAGATCCCCTCGACACCATTGCAGAGTATGGCACAGATGCTTTGCGCTTCACTCTTGCCTTAGGGACTGCTGGTCAGGTTTGTTATGAGCTCATTTTGTCACTAAATCATGGATATGCATATTCCTTTTTCTGCGATGGTGTCCACTTTGGATGCTTTCATCAGCCAGCTTATCTCTTTGTTATAGGATCTAAATTTGTCCATGGAGAGGTTGACCTCTAACAAGGCATTCACCAACAAATTGTGGAACGCTGGCAAGTTCATATTGCGGAATTTGCCTCATCAAGATGACACTCTTGCTTGGGAAGCTTTACTGGCCCATAAGGTTTGTCGATTTTGGTGTTTCAACCCAAATATATGTTGTATGACAGTTTGCTTCAAGATCTGTGGATCAGAAGTAGTAAGGCAACAATGCAATACGAATGTTTGAAAGAGGTGAAATACTTATTAAAAAGCAAAATGCCTGGAAGAACTGAGATAAGTATTGCAGTAAATGAAATGAAAAAATGCACTAAATCAGAGATCGTCAAAGTGTCAGATTGTGTTTGGTGATTCACATTAACTATCAGATTGAGCTTGGTGACCAGCATGGGCTTACATACTAAAGAGCTTAATCCTAGTTGTTGACATAAAGAACGTCCAATTTTTTAATTTACTCTGTTTTGCAGCATAGGCTGGCAACTCAGAAATTTTTCGCTGTTAAATATTTTGGTATATACGCACGTCTCTCAATATTGAAGTCAAGTTCTTCGAGAGTTCTCAATTCTGCATGGCATGCAAATTCACGTCCTAGAACATAGTTGCTCCAAAAGAATTATGTTCTCACCGAAGCCCAAATATTTGGTGTTCAAATCAAGATCCTTGGTTTCTATGTAGATTCTAAAGTGAGAAACTTTTTCTATGTAGATTCTAAAGTGAGAAACTTTTGAAGTACAGTGAAATCACTTCTTCCAATTATCTTAGATGGTTATTTACCGGTGAACTTCAATGGTCACATAATAAAAATTAGGAGTAATCCCAAGGTTTTCAAGGGTCTAGAGTTGACTTGTGTTTGAATTCTGCATTACGTGCCAATAATATAACATTCGAAATGCTTATCTATTGCGCTATCTACTCTTTTCTCAGTTTGATAAAGTGGAGTCTGTGGTGAAGCTCCCACTACCTGAATGCTGGGTGGTAAGATGATGCTTTTGATCCTTTTTCTGTTGGTAAATATGATGTTCTTGATCCTCATTAAGCGCACTATGGCATAGCTGTCCTGTTTTACCACTTCTACTCCTTTCAGGTATCAAAACTTCATGTACTTGTTGATGAAGTCACTGCAAGTTATGAGAAACTTTTCTTTGGAGATGTTGGAAGAGAAATATATGACTTCTTTTGGGCTGATTTTGCTGATTGGTATGTTCTTCCTATTGTTTTACGTGCTTTTACGTCATTTTGGTTTCCATGTTAGTCTTGTAATTCTTCTATTTTAATAAGACATTATCCAAAATGTGAAGTCTTGACCATCTAGAATGGAAATTATTTCTATTGAATTAATATGCAGAAAGAATGATGTTATTGGTGGATGGGAATTTAATTTGTAGTTCATTCTTATACATTATCTACAATCTGAAGTGGAGACTATTTTTATTGAAGAGTAATATGCAGAAAGAATGATGGTGTTGGTAGGCGTGAAAATTTTATTTGTAATTCATTATTACGCTCTTGCATGGTGACCTGCCTTATTCTGCTTGAAGAACTAGTCCACTGTGACTAAAACAGAGGTCATCACCTCCCCGACAAAAACTTAATGATACATGTTAGGTGTATTAAGAATAAAGTTAAAATACAGTGATAAGAGGAATAAGCTTAACTGTGAAAAGAGGTTATGAAAATGTTTACTTCTCCTTCATCATGAAACTAGTTTTCTAAATTCTACCATGAAATTGGTGATGATAAAGTGAGAGAAAGCACGGGAGAAAATATTATTATTGATGTTAATTATAATACAATGAACCCTATTTATAAGTGCACATAATATATAATCTACTCCTATTACATACAGGACTCAGACTAATTACATATATATTCACAAAGCTATTCTAACACTCCCCCTCAAGTTGGTGCATACAAATCATATGTACCGAGCTTGTTACATATATAGCTAATACGAGGACCAGTGAGGGATTTGGTGAAAATATCTGCAAGCTGATCATTCGACTTCACAAACTTTGTTGTAATATCTCCTCAGAGTATCTTTTCTCTGACGAGGTCACAGTCAATCTCAATATGTTTAGTTCTCTCATGGAACATCAGATTCGATGCAATATGAAGGGCAGCTTGATTATCACACACAAGTTTCATTTGGCTGATCTCACCAAATTTCAACTCTTTGAGCAACTGTTTGATCCAAACTAGCTCACATGTTGCTATAACCATTGCTCGATATTCTGCTTCTGCACTAGACCGAGCAACGACGTTCTGTTTCTTGCTCTTCCAAGACACCAAGTTACCTCCTACTAAAATACAATATCCAGACGTAGAACGTCTATCAGAAGGTGATTCTGCCCAATCAGCATTTGAGTATCCAACGATTTGCTCATGGCCTCGATCCTTAAATAATAGTCCTTTGCCTGGAGCTGATTTTATATACCGAAGAATTCAAAAATATCCAAGTGCACATGGAATAATCATCAATGAAACTGACAAAGTAGCGGAATCGCAAGGTAGAACTGACCCGACTAGGACCCTAAACATCTGAATGGACTAAATTAAAAGGTGAATCTGCTCGATTATCAAGACGCCAAGGGAAATTGGAGCGGGTATGCTTACCGAGCTAACATGACTCACACTCTAGAGCTGACAAGTGAGATAAACCAGATACCATTTTCTGAAGTTTTGACAAACTGGGATGTCCCAACCGTTTATGTAATAAATCTGGTGAATCAGTAACAGGACAAGTTGTAGAAGGAAGACAAGATGTGAGTCCATGTGATTTAGCAAGGATAAGGTAATAAAGTCCGTTTGATTCACGCCCGATACCAATGATCCGCCCCGTATTGCGTTCCTGTATAAAAACATGGTCATCAAGAAATAAAACAACGCATTTAAGTGATTTGGCTAAGCGACAAACAGCTATGAGATTAAAAGGACTATTGGGAACATAAAGGACTGAATCTAAAGGTAAGGAAGGAAGTGGGCTTGCTTGACCTATTGCAGTTGCCATGGTTTGAGACCCATTGGCCATTGTGACTTTTGGAAGAGATTGAGAATACGAAATAGTAGTGAAAAGAGATTTGTTACCAGAAATATGATCTGATGCACCTGAATCAATGACCCAAGACTCAGAGGATGAAGATTGGGAGAAACAAGTCACGCTATTACTTGTTTGAACAACAGAAGCTATCTCAGAAGATGTCTGCTTACATGCTTTATACTGAAGGAACTCAATATACTCTGCTAAAGAAACCATCCGACTATTCAAAGCATCGGTTCCCATGTCGCTACAATTTGTAGTAGTAAGGTTAACTTGAAATAGTGAAAATAAGTAACTCCTGTGAGAAAACTGAAGAAATAGCTTGAAAAATACTGTTTACAGGTGAGATAAACCAGGTACCATTTTCTGAAGTTTTGACAAACTGGGATGTCCCAACCGTTTATGTAATAAATCCGGTGAATCAGTAACAAGACAAGTTGTTGAAGGAAGACAAGATGTGAGTCCATGTGATTTTGCAAGGATAAGGTAATAAAGTCCATCTGATTCATGCCCAGTACCAATAATCTGCCCTGTACTGCGTTCCTATATAAAAACAAGGTCATCAAGAAATAAAACAGAGCATATAAGTGATTTGCTAAGCGACTAACGACTATGAGATTAAAGGGACTACCGGGAACATAAAGAACTGAATCTAAAGGTAAGGAAGGAAGTGGACTTGCTTGACCTATTCCAGTTGCCCTGGTTTGAGACCCATTGGCCATTGTGACTGTTGGGAGAGATTGAGAACATGAAATAGTAATGAAAAGTGATTTGTTACCAGAAATATGATCAGATGCACCTGAATCACTGACCCAAGACTCAGAGGTTGAAGATTGGGAGATACAAGTCACGCTACTATCTGTTTGAACAACGGAAGCTATCCCTGAAGATGTCTGTTTACATGCTTTATACGAAAGGAACTCACTATAATCCGGTAAAGAAACCATCAGGATTGCATTGGATCCAACGGATTGTGAGTCAAAGGCTTTTGATACGAATGCCATTATAATGTTCACACCAGAAAAATATAAAAGTGGTCGGAATTTGATTTGAATTAGATGGGTAGGCTCGGAATTGTGAAGAGAGCAGACTGTCCTGGAGAAGTTTCGCGAAAAAATGGCCAGAAAGTGGCCCACGCGCCGGCGTGTGGGTCGGAACCCTCGCCGGAAAAGTTTCTGTTGCTGGCGCGTGGAGGCGCGTGGCAACTTTTCTGCCGGAGATATTTTTAGGGGTTGGTCGCCGGAGGGTGATCTACCTCGTGGTGGTGTTGATTTTTGCACAACACCGACAGAAAGTGACTTTCACGTAGACAAGCCTTAGATCACCGGAAAAAATGCACGATGACTCAGTTCTTTCTTCCCGGTTAACGCTGGAATGACGCACAACGATCTTTTCTCACTAATGCTTTGATACCATGTGAGAGCACAGGAGAAAATATTATTATTGATGTTAATTGTAATACAATGAACCCTATTTATAAGTACACATAATATATAACCTACTGCTATTACATACGGGACTCAGACTAATTACGTATATATTCACAAAGCTATTCTAACGAGTGTATTTTTCTAAAACATAAAATCTGGTTCTGGACAATTTTAGTTGTATCAATGGCAAGCGTGACGTGGAACCTATTGGAGGGTTTAAGTGATAGGTAATCAGTTGCTCGGACTCTTCACTTTCAGTGCCGCACCCGTGTCGACACGACGTGGGTGTGGGTATGGGTATGGGTATGGGTATGGGTATGGGTATGGGTGTGGGATCCGTGTCGGATCTGGTCAACCGATTTTGGGTACTTTGACCAAAATCAACGGATAAATTTGGGACAGATACAATGATTTTTGAAAACAAATCAAAAGTTAGGGTGATATGGAAGAAAATGGAATACCTTGTATATATAAATGTCTATGTCGGTCCTTTTCCTTTTATCTCCTTCTAAAATTCTACTCTTGTTCAATATTTTCTCCTTCTCGGAATACTTTATAAGTTTTTCACATAATGTCTCATAATTTAGACATATTTTTATAACTCTATTTTTAAATAATTGAATTATTTTTAGCCGAATTCCCGCACCCGTATCCGTACCTGGATCCGTACCCCCGAATCTTTAAATTTAGATCATGAAGGATCTGACCTCTAGATCCGCACCCTTATCGGACACCCGCACTCGAGTCCGAGCAACTTATCTACATTATGTTCGGTATAAGAGGGAGACAAATGGGAAGGGGGAGGTGGGCGTGCTTGTTTATTCCCCAAGGCGAACTATTGACCTTTTCATTGGATAACTTATAGTAACTGGAGTTGGAAGTTTAGTAATGTTCAGTTCCTCTTTCCCTTCCTGTTATATAGAGGGGTTGAAAAAGCTGATGTAGAAGTGTAATGTTCCTCCACTTTCCTGTTTCTCTTCACTTCTGACCCAAAGAAAAGAAAAAGAACTTACCTGTTTTCTTTTATTCTTTTCCTTTAATCCATCCTATCTTCATCCAAACCTTAGCCAAAGATAGTATAGCTTTAGGGGTGGTTTGGTAGGAGGTATTAGAAAAAATAATGCAAGCATTAGCTCTATGCGTTACTAATACCTTGTTTGGTACATGTTTTCAACCTGTGTATAGTATTAGTTATACATCATACTTGGTATTATCTTATGTATAAGTAATGCATAGAAAACCATGACATTAGTAATACCAAGGCTACTAATGCATGCATTAGGTTGGTTAAAGACAAAATTATCCTTAAAGTCCCTTAAAGCTTGAGAATATGGAGAGCATTTTTGTAAACAACTATTTTTCTTAAAAATTATGCAATGCATTATAATTTTAATACACCACACCAAACAGTAGATAAGAAATAATATCTGCATAACTAATGCTTGCATTACTAATCCATGCATTACTAATACACCTTATTCCGCACTATTTTTATACACCCTACCAAATGACTTATAATTTATCTATCTCATCTTCTGTCACTAAATCTCTGTCTACTTTATAAGGTACATTGAAGTTAGTAAAGCTCGCCTGTATCACTCCGGAGATCATTCTGTTGCATCTGTATCACAAGCAGCTCTGATATATATTTTTGGGAGCATCCTTAAATTGCTACATCCATTTATGCCTTTCGTAACTGAAGAGCTCTGGCAGGTGATGTGATATATCCTTTTTCTTTTGTGCTTTGGTCAGTGCCTTTTATTGTTTTATATATGTATACTTCATGCCAAATACGATGATACAAGATGAGTGAGGATTATGCAATGGGATATTTACGAGAACCCGCAATCTACGGAAAAAGAGTTTCTCACTCCGAAAGTCTTAATATTATAGTTGAATAACAAAATATCCATATTGTTTATCTCTCGGTAACTAAAACTTACATGCAAATATGTGAGATGTATGGATAATCTAAATTTTAGTTGTTTTACAATGGGATAGTTTTTCTTTTTCGGGGTTTTTCACTCACAGATAGGTGTTTGTTTGAGGTAACTTTAAAGGCAATGGAGCTATTTACATATAGAGTAGTCAAAGGCGAAAAGCTTAAACAAGGCTAAAGTTGCTTCACGCGCATAGCAGAATTAAAGCATTGGCTTTTGCAAAGAAAAAACGCTAATGAAGAATACCCAAGTCCCAAGTTAAAAATGTTACGCAAGAAAACATTACTACAAGTATAAATTATACTCCCTCCGTTTCAAATTATGTGAACCTATTTGGCTGCGCTCGGAGTTTAAGAAAAAAAAGATTTTTGAACTTGTGGTGTAAAATGAGTCATATATATTTTGTGTGGCTATAAATCATTGCATAAAGGTAAATTGTTTCCAAATATGGAAAGGGGTCATTCTTTTTGGCACGAACTAAAAAGGAAATAGGTTCACATAAATTGAAATCGAAACGGAGGGAGTAATTATTCGGACAGAAGAATTGTCAAACTATAATTAAGTGAAATATACAAAAAGAATCATGTCAATCAAGTTGACCATTTTAAATTTCTAACTTAGATGAAGATATGTAGTTTGAACATTGAACTTTTGACTATTTAGTTGTTAGTTTCTTATACTAAGCCTGTAATTTCTTGTTCCTAATCACTAACAATTCAATTCACATATTTTCTTAATGATTAATGTATCACTTTGTGAAGTATATTTACAAGGTGAAGAGATGCATGCGAAGCTCCAAAGCTTAAGCATGTCTTAGGCGAGCTTTTACCAACACTTGTTAAATTTTATTTCTAGATGTCAGCCAGCCTCTGGTGAATGCACCCCCACCCAATCCCACCCTCACTCCCCTAAAAGGCAAAAGAAAAAGAAAAGAGCGGCTTAAAGCTCGTCAATACTTACTTTTTTCACACAAGGTCACACTAATTAGTTTATGAGTTCTAATGCTGATCCATAACTTTGGGTCCTAGTCCACTCATAGCTGATTTGAGTCTTCTGGCGTCATAGCATGCCAACTTATTACCATTCTGATAGTCTTGCATCCTGGTTCTTTTTCCATGTTAATTCTATGTAGTTCTTTACTATAATCATGTCTGTGAAAGGTCAAGCCCCGGTAAATCTGCATTATCAATTGATGAAATGGTC